GGAAATGATCAGTGGATGGTAAGTGAAGGAACACTGGAATATGAACAATGAAGATTGTGATCCTCAATATACTTTCTTAAAAGTTATTATAAGAGAAAGTTATATGTACACATGGTGCTTATGATAATCTCCAGTTAACTCCTAGCTAAGGAGTCAATGAAAAACTTAAGGCTACTGTGGACCTTCCTCTGTTTTAGACTGTATTCCTCTCTCCTGCATTATTCAGCTTCTGCATCTGTCTCAGTATAATATCCCATAGCATAGCGCCCCTTCTTATTCTATTCTGAGATTATCTTGTTTGATTGAATTAGAATTTTTGGTTATACTTTTTGGACCCAGACATAATCTTAGATGCCTGTTCATATGTTTTACACTGTAATAAATTTTTATCTCATATAACACACTAAAGCTGCTCTGCATTCTTCTAACATTCCCCAATCAACCATTCCTAGAGTGTATTCTACAGAACACTGTTCTCATTAAATATTCCACACCCATGACAAGAATCAAATATTTAGAAAAATTGAATGCTAAACTTAGCACTGACCTAGGGATTGGGATACAAGGTAACAAAAAAGTCTTTATTATCTGAATAAAATAAAAATCCTAGGTTGCTCCTGGGTTATAATTATTAGACTTTTTTTTCTGGTGATAAAAATCCAAATGATTTATTTTAAAAAACATTATTTTCTTTAATTTATAGGATCTGAAACACATAATGTAAAATTATGGAGAGTAAAATATGTAATACAGTTTGTATTGTTAATTAAAACTTTAAAAAGCATTGAAAGTATGTTCTTGCATAGCTTGGTCAATTACTAGAGAGTCTTCCTCAATGGACCTAACAAATAGGAGGAAGATGGTTAGAGTACTCAGATCAGAGCTAGCTGGTAGCAGACAAATACCACTTGTATAAAAATGATCACTATGAGAATGTTCTCCCAAATTCATTGTTTGACACAAGATAGGTGGCTTTCCAACATAATCTACTCCAAATTAGGTTGAGGAGATGATTAATTTTTCAAGAAATCGAGTCTCTAAAGCTAGCAATTCCAAGTAAGTAAATACTTAAAAACAAACAAACAAACATGAGCAGCATGGTAGAACAAAGCAGAATTGGTAAATTGGTGTATTAACTGATTTCTTTAAAGATGTATTTATTTATTTTTAAGAGAGGGAAAGAGAGGGAGAAAGAGAGGGGGGAAACATCAATATGTGGTTGGCTCTCATGCACTCCATAGTGGGAGCCTGGCCTGCAACCTAGGCATACATATGCCCTGACTGGGAATCAAACTAGCAACCCTTGGTTCTCAGGCCGGCATTCAATCCACTGAGCCACACAAGCCAGGACTGTATTAATTGATTTTTAATGTTTCATTTCATTTCCTACAATTTCTTTGGATGTATTTGCAACTTGCCACAAAGACAAACATATAGGGGCATCTGAGAAGTTATGGAAGAAGCTTTCTATTAAATGACTAGTGAGCTTGTAACATGGCACAGCTAGGAGGGGGGCCCCCCAAAAGAGGATTTGGGATGGAGTCTGGAGCTCAGGGTGTCCAGTAAATATTAAGATGTCCTCATCCCCCCCTACCCAGGGGGAGGGAAAAAATGGAGCAGGGCCATTGAGAGCTGTTTTGCATAGCAACCGTTTTGCAACTAACCTCTGGAATGATTATTTGACATATCTATAACCTTTAACTGGATTCATAGATATATTAAATAGCTGTGGCCAAGTTTTGAGCCAGGGAGAAGGGAATGGCTTCTACCCAGGATGTAACTGGGGGCTGGTCCCCCAAGTTACAGAGCCTGCATGAGAGCTTGGAGAAAATTGGCTCCAGAACATGGGGTGACACTTGCCCAGACTAATGATGGCAGCCCAGTAAAGCTGGGAGGGTATGAGAATCCTGGCAGGTGTAACTGATTGTAGGAGGACTTGGAAATGGGGCTGCAAAGGAGGATGGGCGCAGAGATTTAAACCAAGATGCAGTAGCCATTGGGTTGAGAATCACGCGGTTTCAGGAAAGTAAGGGTCTCCTTTTGGCCAAGTGAAGAGAGAGCCACGCGTTTGGGGAAGAGTGAGGACCCCTGCAGCCAGGTAAAAGGGGGAGCCACGCGGTTTCAGCAGAGTGAAAGAGTACCACTTGACTTTGCCAGAATGGAGATCCTGCAGCCAGGTAAAGAAGACACATGCTTTTGGTGGAGTGTGGACCCCTGCAGCTTTGGTAGAAGAGGCCCACGCGGCTTTGAGGTGCTTCCTTTGGCGGAGTGGCCTAGAAAGCAGGAGAGACTTTGGCTGGAACTGGGTACAAAGAACTCTAGCGAGTGGACTGTGAGAGGGTGCCACATGACCAGAGATCCTGCCTAACGGTCAACAGAGCTGATGATACCAGTGGCCTGGAAAAACGGATGTGTGCTCTTTTCCTGATTTACGGAACCCGGAGATGGGACAGTGGGAGAAGGGAGAGCTGTATGTGGGTGTAGGTGTATACCCTAAAGGACTTTAATTAGTGGAGGCATTAGGTCTAATTAGCATTAAATAAACATTTCATTTCCTTTTCACAAATCTCTGGCATTGAGAGATGTCTTTCCAATTGGCAGCGGACAGAAGAGCCCAGTAGATATTACTATTCCATCCTTGGGAGGGGCCCCTGTTGTTCTGTAGTAGTTTTTGGCATCCCTAGGTGGGCCAAATATTGGCCCCCCTTGGACCTCTTGTTCGGTAGCAAGCTGAGATCTAAATGGTGAAGAAGAGTTAACTGGGTGGAAGAGTGGTATGGGAAGGTGTTAGTCCTGCGGATGCTTTGTAGGAGTTGGACTATTCAGTTTAAGGACCTGAGATAAAGCCGTGTGGCTGAAGCTCAGAGACTGAGGAGGGGGCTTGGTATGGGATGAGATTAGGGAGGTGAGAACAAGATAATACTAACTGCCTTAAAGGGCAAGTTACAATTTTATTCTAACCCTAAGATCAAGGGAAAGGGGTTTCTAAATTCAAAGGGGTGTTGGTGGTTGTATTAATTACCTTTTTATTATTTATTTGCTTGTTTATAATTATTGTTGTTCAATTACAGTTGTCTGCATTTTATCCCCACCACTTCCCCCCACCCAAGCCAGCTCATATTCTATAATCTTTTTTTTAAAGATTTTATTTATTTATCTTTAGAGGGGAAGGGAAGGAGAGAGGGAGAGAAACATCAATGTATGGTTGCCTTTCATGCATCCCCTGCTGCCAGCTGGCCTGCAGGGAACTGGCCTGCAACCTGGGTATGTGCCCTGACTGGGAATCGAACCGCGATTGTCTGGTTCGCAGGCCCCCGCTCAATCCACTGAGCTACACCAGCCATAATCTTTTAAAAAGATTAATCTAGCAGCAGTATGGAGAGAGGTCATCAAGCGAAAACAAGAAGGCAGGATGCAAATTAGGATGTCAATTACATTGGTGGGGGTAAAATATTCTGGCGGCTTGCACTTGCTGACGAGAGTTGAAATGGAAATGAATGAGTAGCATCTAGAGATACTGAGTAACAAAAATGATGGGATGACTGGTTGTGCCATCTCCGAGACAGACAGTAGGGGAGGATAAGGTGTGGGTGGAGCCATAATCATAGTTGAGATTGCCTAGGCAAAGAGCAGAGTGAGAAGGGAAAGCATCCTGTGACTGAGTGTTAAGAAATGTTAACATGTAGCGTAAAAAAGAAGCTCAAAGGGAGTAGCCAGATCTGGAGGAGAAAACTTGAGGAGTGTAATGTCTCAGGCTCAGGAGAGAAGTGTGCTCAACCATGGGAGGCTGGAATGTTCTTTGGTTTCATAATATGAGATTATCTATGACTTCAGCAAGAGGCCTTTCATTACAGGGAAGAGAAAATCCAGACTACAATGGACTGAGGAGAAAATGGTAAGCGAAGAAGACTGAGAACAGAAACTGAAATTTAGAGAACTTTTGAGATGCTGAACACTGAAAAAAAGGCAACATCTAGGGCAGTGATTTGGGTATGGGATTTAGGCTTGTTCTTTACTGTGAACCTGTTTCTTGTTATCTGGTGCAGTTGTTTTGCAAACTATTGAGGCAGTGGTCCTAAAGGAGGGATTTTTTTCTCCTTTGAATACTACCACTAACTTTCAACTTCATTTCTAAAGAGAAAAAAATATCTTCTAAACTTCCTATTGTCAGTCTAGGCATTTGCTGATGAACCCAATAGTGTATAACTGTAACATTATCATTTTTCTTAAATGATTCAATCACAGTGTATTAATACTATTTATATAATGTATTTTTAATTTAATTCTGCACCATTAATTTGGAAAGGTACCAATTTTTCAGTAACTTACTTGTCTTATAAAAGGACCAAGATACTTACTGTGTTTACCTACAAAATAACTTGGTTCATTTTGACTCAGAGTCAAAATGTAATTAAGATTCTATATTAGAAAGGCTTAATTAACATGGTTCTGAAAGGATGTTTTCTACATTAATGACCTGAGAGTTGGTGAATATTTGTGGGAGACTGTTCTGTGTGGTGTGGGAGACCCAGGTCCCACTCAGAGATACACAGGACCCACGCCCATGGATAGGTTCCCTTGTGGGGAATCAGGCCTGCAATGTGCCTAGGCCACTTTGAGTTTTGCTTTTTGATAAAAACTCCCTCACCCAGATTTGTGGCAAACACATATCTGTAAAACAACTTCCTAAAATCCATGCTAAACCTTTCCTAGGACCAGTGTCATTGGTCCAACCACTTTTGCCCTTTTCATTTGCAAATATCCCTCTTCTGTGATGTGATTACCAGCATCCTCTCCTTTGTTTTCTGTAAAAGGGTAACCACCTAAAGCAATTGTGCATAGTAAATGAGGACCATCCTGTAATGCGCTGAGAAACCCAATGAAGGCTGGTCTGGCAGGGGCCTCAGCTTTTGCTGCCTTGAGAGAAAAGCTGTGCTGTCCCTTTTCCCCCACAGGACTCCGTAGTCTGTGTGAATGTTTCATTTCATCCATAATGATGCAGACACTGCGGGCTGGTGACCACATCAAATATTCTTCCTTGCGCAGGGGCCATGCTAATCTTCTCTGTATCATTCCAATTTTAGTATATGTGCTGCCGAAGTGAGCACTGCATCTAATATTCTTAAATAGAGGTGCTTACATTGTTACATTATTTCTGAATTTCAATAGTATAATAATAATTTTATTTTTTCTATTTTCAGAAAATATCATTACATTTATATTTTCTCTAATTAAAATATTATCTCAGTTGGAATACAAATGAAATGTTTCAACATTAAAGGAAAGGGGAAGATGAACTATTTTGCTGGAAACTCATAAGAATTAAAAATAGTGCTTCAAAAATCAGTGCATTGAAATAAGGTCTCAAATGTAATTAAAATTGCTGTTTGATTCTCCAAGCAATATGAAACAACACACACAATTAAGGGGGTAGGGGATTGAATTGCTAGTTTTTTCTACCTTGAAAATTCACCTGTTAGGAAGTTACTAGATTTATCAGTCAGGCTGGATTTATTAGTAGAACTTTAAGTTTAGAAAAAAATAAGGGTAAGTAAAATTCTATTGATAATATTTTTATTTTGGAAAGAAGTAATAAAAATGTGAAGGAACAAATTAGTGCAAAGACATTTGGTAAGAATTTATGCCAATCACAAAAGAAATTATTTTGAACTTAAAAACTAACCCATTTTTGTTTCTTTATAAGAATGTTTTTCTCTCTAGCATTGTGCTTTGTAACTTTTATCTTAGAAGTCTAAGTGACTGAAATCCTAACTGTTCTGATGAATTGCCTTTTCTTTTATGAAAACTATAGCTTCACTCTTACTGAATGAGTTATAAAGTCCTCTCATGTGTCAAATATTTATTCTGCATGTGTTGCATGTCAATGTATCATGTGCTAGACACGATTACAAACTTAAGGTTTAGTTTCTAATGGAGTGAAATGGCCATTTAAATGTATAGATTCAGTTGGGTTGCATGGGCTATAATAGGCAAATGTGCAGGTTACAATGGGGCCTCAGAGAAGATGGATTATCATAGGTGCCAGACACATGAGAGGAGTAATCTTTCAGGCTTCAGAGAAAGGGTGACCTCCAGAGGGTTGTACAGATGGCAGGAGTTCCACAGATAAGGTCACTGAAGAGGAAATGGGATTGAGTATTAACAGCAACAAGAATGGTGTAAATGAAGATGGGAAGTTAGCAACAACCTGTTTCAGTCCAAGAATTGTCAGGCGTGTGATGTGGCTGGAGCCTGTGATTGGGGTAGTGGCATCACAGTGCACAGTGGTCCCAAAGCCTGCAGAGGGCATGGAAGAGCTTTCTCTGACAAGTTTATTCTGAGTCTTGTGAAATGGCAAACTTGAGCAGTTTTTTTTAATCAGGGAAATGTCATAATAAGGTTTGGATTTTAGAAATATCCTGTAGGCAAGTATCTGGTGGAAGTATGTGAACGCTGAAGACCAATAAGCCTATTGGCCTGCTGCAGAGCAGAGTTAATGTGGTATAGAAACAATACTATGGAAGGGGGGAGAGGACAGATCACAGACTGATGAAATAAAGGCTTCAGAGTTTGTTAACTGTGTATATAGATAAAAAGACACTTTCAGGTTTCTGATGCCTGGTACAGCCTTCTGCAAAGGGGGAGGAGCAAGTTCATTTTAGGAAGATGAAGAGGGATCATACCAATTAATTTTTGTACCTGTTGAGTTTAAGCTAGATGTCAAGTAGTCAGTTGCATATTTAAGTCTGGCATTCAACGGTCAAGTCCAGATGGAGAATAGACTAATGAGTGGGTACATTGAGTGTTTATGATATCCCAACATTGTTTTAAAGTATATTAATTTATTTACTTGCTCCTCATGAGACTCATTTGTGATAGTAATTTTCATTTGCACTCTACAGCATCGCTCAGCTGCTAAGGGGCAGAGGCAGAATTGGAACCCAGGGAACCTGATGCCAGAGCCCAGGCCCTTACCCATCATGCTCCGCTGCTGCTCCGAAGCCGGAGCCCTGGTACACGGAAAGAAGCATCCTGGGAATTAAACATTTAGTGGCAATATAAAATATTCTATAATTGCAATTAAATCATTCAAAGTGCTTATCTTTTTCATTAAAATAATTTATCTTAAAAAGATATTTAATCTTAAAGAGGAAGGTAAGATTAAATTTCTCTGCTTAAAGCCAGTATTTCTGTTAAAGGAATCATTCTCATAGACAGTGATTAACCAGAGGCATATTTGATTTATTTCATTATCTTCTCTGCACATTCGAAGAGCACTTAATTCAATAAATCCTCTCACATCTGGCTTCTAACTATGTATTCTCTTACAGTTATCTAAATCCATGACCTCGTTATTTTTTTGCCTGGAATATTCGGATAGCCTTTAAATTGTCTTTTTACCTTCTGTATTCCTTGCTCCAAATTTATCACTCATACAACGGGCTATAGTACAACTTAAAAAGCCACCAGTTCCACAAAGATTTTTATGTTATACATAGATTGCAAAAGCCTCAAAGGGAGAGAATGTTTTTATATCTTTATCTCTAATTCCTAAAACCGTTGGCACATAGTAAATTATTGGTAAGATTTTATTAAATAGGTGGGTACATGGATATTATGTCTCTCCCACACTGGTAATATTTTTTAAGTGTTAATATATTTTCAAGTTATATGAGATACGCTTCTATTACTTATTTTTAAATTGACTATAATTATCTAGTATAGAATACTTCATAACAGGGTCCAATACATAATTGATGACTGAGTGGATTGTTAAGTCAATCAATTAATAAATAATAATGGGTAATAATAGAATGTTAGTAAGAAGAAACATAAACTCTCATTAACTAGTAAATAATGGTTATTTAAAATTCAGTAAAACCTGGCTGATATGGCTCAGTGGGCTGAGTGCCAGCCTGCAACCAAAGGGTCACCATTTCCAGTCAGGGCACATGCCTGGGTTGCGGACCAGGTCCCCAGCAGGGGGCCTGTGAGAGGCAACCACACATTGATGTTTCTCTCCCTCTCTCCTTCCCTTCCTCTCTCTCTAAAAGTAAATAAAAATCTTTAAAAAATCAGTAAAAAATATATGTGATGCATTAGAAAAAGTATTTAAAATATATTGGTCTACATTTGTTATATAACAATTCTGAAGCAAATGACAAGAATTTCTCATTTTATGATTATATTCACACTTAAAAATTAATTATATCTCAAAACATACCTTATGCAAGCAGACCATATCTGTTTAACTTTAGAAATAGAACAATAAAGGCATAATGAAATACCAGTCAAAACTGATATTCAATAAACATTTCCTTTTTTGTTGTTTTTTGACAAGCATGTTGAAATGACATTTGACTGGTTAGAGAAGTGTTGTAGTAAAAATGTGGAAATGTCGTTTCGGCTATACTACGATCAAGTATATTGAAAACTGGCTGAGTGCTGCTTCTTGAGTTACTGTCAACATAGAAGTCCAATCACCATTTTTCTAAGTATTATTTGGGTTCACATGGTAGTTAATGGTGTTTATGAGTTAACGAGAGGTATAGATTGAATATGACATGCAGACAATGGGACTGTGATGATGTACCAGAGGAAGAGTTCTCCTCTGCTTTTCTAGGGTCTCCAGCTGGGTCTATGAATTAAATTGGCATAAGATGGATTAATAGAAAAAAGCATACAAGATTTATTAAAATTTTACCTGTACATGTGAGACTTCACAGTAGATTAAAGACCCAAAGAAGTAGCCAGAGAAGAAAGCTTGTATTTATTTTTTTTTTGACAAAGAAACATTAAGTTTGTAAAGAATTTATAAGACAAATAATTTGGGCTAAGGATAGTGAATTGTGGGGAAACTACTAGGAAGATGGGGTCAGTTTAATAAGGTTATATGCGCATGAGTGTTTCTTAGCTTAGATTTCCCATCTCTGGTGACAAAAATCTTCCTTTCTCTAGGGCCAGGGTGGGTGCCTTTCACATGGGAATTTTATCTTTTGCTTTCTAGGAAGGAAAAGGAGGGCCAGAGGGCTCTTCTTGCACCTGCTGTTTCTCGTGTCTTTATCTCAATTATCAATATGCCAAGGTGGCATATTATGGGAACGCATGCTCTGCAGTTCTTTAACAAAAATAGGAAGAAAGAGAAGGTTTACAAATAATTTGGAGAATGATCACAATAGAGAAGGTACAGAAAATAAGTAGCATAGACAGTAGATAGAAAATAGATGGGGGGCAAGAATAGTATGAGAAATATAGAATCTAAAGAACTTGAGACACATGGTCATAAACTAAAGGGGGGGTAATGGTGGGGACGGGGATGGGGGTAGGATGGAGGGGAATGAAGGGGGGAATAGAACGACTGTAATGGCATAATCAATAAAAAAAGAAATCTTGAAGGATTTTTTTAGTTCCTAGACTTTATTTATTTTTTTTAAATTTATTTAATTATTGTCCAAGTACAATTTTTGTCTTTTACTCCCATGCCAGCCCACCTCCCCAGTGCTCCCCACCTCCCTCCCATTCCCATGCCCCTGCCTTAGTTTTTGTCCATGTGTCCTTTATACTTGTTCCTGTGAATCCTTCCCCCTTTTCCCCTGAAATTCTCTCCCCTCTCCCCTCCGGTCACTGTCAGCCTGTTCTGTATTTCAGTGTCTTTGGTCATATTTTACTTGCTTGTTTGTTTTGTTGTTTAGGTTCCTGTTAAAGGTGAGATCATATGGTATTTGTCTTTCACCGCCTGGCTTATTTCACTCAGCATAATGCTTTCCAGTTCCATCTATGCTGTTGCAAAGGGTAGTAGCTCCTTCTTTCTTTCTGCTGCATAGAATTCCATTGTGTAAATGTACCATAGTTTGTTGACCCATTCATTTACTGACGGGCACCTAGGTTGCTTCCAACTCTTGGCTATTGTAAATTGTGCTGCTATGAACTTTGGTGTGCATAGGTTCTTTTGGATTGGTGTTTCAGGATTCTTAGGATAAAATCTTAACAGTGGAATTGCTGGGTCAAAAGGCATGTTCATTTTTAATTTTCTTAGAAAATTCCATACTGTTTTCCATAGTGGTTGTACCAATCTGCAATCCCACCAACAGTGAACCAGGGTCCCCTT